TTTTTTTTTTAATTATGAGAAATCAGCGCATGTTTCTGGAGGGGTAAATTTTATAAAAATGTAATCTCAGACCCCTCCGGAGGGAAACATGCGCTGATTTTTTTTTATTTTTCGAAAAATAAATCTCGGAGAAAATGAATGAGACTAGCGCATGTATCCGGAGGAATGAAAATTTGGGGGGGTTAGGGGGAGGGATCTGAGATTACATTTTTATAAAATTTACCCCTTCGGAAACATGCGCTGATTTTTGATAATCTAAAAAAAAGCATTTCGGAGAAAATCCATGATCATGCGGTTTCTCTGGGGTATTGAAGATAGCCGCATGTATCCGGAGGGGGGTGAGGGAGTGTAGGGAATGAGGAGTAGTCGGGAAGGTAACAATCCACTAACAAATGCAATTAAACTAATAATTACAGATTTATTATCCGCGTCAAATTAATACAAAGGTGAAGAGAAAATAATATGATCTGATCAAGTGTGCGATACGAGCTGTACTGTGAGACTGAATAATATTCGCACGGAAAGGTGTCAGCGAGACTGCCGGATATCCTTCCGATTTGACGAATCAGAAAAGAATACGCGTGACACTGAAGGTGCGAGTGGGATGGCAAATGCCTGTGCTCGTCGTTAGCCAGTGTTCGCGTTTTAGGATGTAGCGAGGCTCTACATGACTCCCCTGCTTGAAGTAAAAAAACGTAGTTTTTGTGAATCTGCAACAGAAAATGATTATTGTAGGAACAGGAAAATTTTTCAGGTTTGGCAAGCAGGTAAAAAACAAAAAAATTTTTGAATGAGGAGACTTAGACGTGGTAGACGTGAATTGTCGGTCTGTTGGCGAATGTTACGCCTCTTCTCCGTCTTCCAGCAGCGGTTGCCGGGCTCGGCTGCGGCTGGTCCTGTTGTTGAGGCTCGTCGGGTAGGCCTTGGTGCGGAGTCTGTCCTGGAAGTTGATCCATGTCCTCCGGCAGCATGTACGCTGGTTTCAGTCGGTCGATGGAGATCGGTGTGTTCTTGTAGTTTCCCAAACCTCCGGACTTGAACCAAATGACGAAATATTTGTCGTGGCGACTGATGACACGAAATGGGCCGATGTATGGTGGTCGGTATGCCATTCGCACGTGGTCGTCGTGAACGAAACCATGCGTACACCTTGATAAGTCCTTGGAGATGAACGTTGAACGTATACCATGGTGTGCAGCTGGAACAGGCGTGATTGTACGAAAATGTTCGCGTAGATTTCTCACCAATTCCGGTGCTGCCGTTTGTTGGTTTGCTGGCACGAGGAACTCTCCGGGTAACTGGATAGGTTCCCCATACGTTAGCTCAGCAGGGGTCGTTTGAAGGTCGTCCTTCCGCGCGGATCTCAACCCTAAAAGTACTAGGGGAAGTGCGTCGAACCAAGCTCCGCCGTGACATCGCAGGGCTGCATTTAGTTGGCGATGTAGCCTCTCAACCAAACCATTTGATTAAGGATGAAAAAGCGTTGTCATGATCCTCTTGGTGCCTAGGATTCGCGTGAGCCCCTTGAACGTGTCTGAGAAGAATTGACTATCTTGATCAGACGAAATTCTCAGAGGTATTCCGAAGCGTGCGATCCAGTGGTAGAGAATCGCGTCAACTACTGTAGGCAATTTTGCATCAATCAATGGAACTGCCTCTAGATACCGCGTGAATCGATCGGCGATGGTCAAATACCAGCTGTGTCCTTTTGAAGCAGGAAGAGAGATAAGATCGACGTGTATGTGTTCGAAAAGTCGCGATGGTGTTTCGATTTCAGCTATTGGTGTAACCGCGTGTCGCGTGACTTAGTTTTTCTGGCATTCCAGGCAGTGTTTGGTACATTCAGAGCAGTCTTTATTCATGCTGGGCCAGACGTAGCGTTGCGTGATGAGTTTCCGTGAACCTCTGCATCCAGGATGAGCCATTGAGTGCAGCGAGTTGAATACTTGGTGTCTCAGCTGGGCAGGCACAGATGGGCGCACTGTACTTGATGACACATCACAGTACAGTGGTTCTTCCATTCCTGGAAGTTGTAGGCGGTCCAGTCGTAGATTCACGTCCGGTCGCTGGAGTAGCCGTTGAAGCTCTTGGTCGTCGCGTTGGGCATCTATGAGCTGTTGCGTTGTGACAGCGGTTGAGACGGCTTCGACTCGTGACAGAGCGTCTGCCACGACGTTGTGTGGGCCCGCGACGTACCGGATGTCCGCAGAAAATTGAGCGATGTAGTCCAATCTTCGGTATTGCCAGGGTGAAGCTCGTTCTGGTTTTTGCTTTAACGCGTTAGTCAGCGGTCTATGGTCAGTGAAACTTATCTTATGACGCTCTTCAAAGATGTGTCTAAAGTGCACTACCGCTTCGTAGATCGCCTGCACTTCCCTGTCGTAAGTCGCGTGTTTTTGCGAGGAATCCGTGAGTTTCCTGCTAAAGAATGCAAGCGGTTGCCAGGAATTGCGGTGTTTCTGCTGTAAAACGGCCCCAATCGTATGATCTGACGCGTCCGTGGAAATGGCCCACTCTGCTTCAATATTTGGATGAGACAACAGAATGGCCTCTGCCAGAGCCTGTTTGCTGCGCGTGAAGGCTTCTTCAAGGGCTGGAGTCCAGGTTACTGGATGCTTTCCTTTGACGTTTAGATCCTGGGTGGCCGCGTTCAGTGGAGCGAAAATTTCTGCTGCTTCCTTGATGAACTTCCGGTAGAAATTTAAACTACCGAGGTACCTGCGCAGTGCTTTTACAGTAGTAGGCCTCGTGAATTCGAGAATCCCGTTGAATCGATCTCTGGGAGGCTTAATTCCCTGGGCGTTGATCGTGTGTCCAAGGAAAATGACCTCTAGATGCCCCAGGACTGATTTGGCGACATTTACTATCAATCCGTAGTCCTGTAGGCGTTGAAAAAGCATTCTCAGGTGTTCGCGATGTTGTTCTTCGTTGTCCGATGCTACCAAAATGTCATCTATGTATGGAAATAGAAATGGTAGATCGCGTGTCACTTCATCTATTAGGCGTTGAAAGGTTTGAGCCGCGTTCCTGAGGCCGAACGTCATGTACGGAAATTCAAAAAGTCCAAAAGACGTGATTATCGTGGTTTTTCAGATGTCCTCATGTGCAACTGGAATTTGATTAAACGCTTTGACCAGATCTATGGTAGAGAAAATTGTTTTGCGGTACAAGTTGGCAGCAAAATCCTCTAAATAACGAACAGAGTACTTATCTGGTATAGTTCTGTCGTTGAATGCGCGGTAATCTCCGCATGGTCTCCATTCGCCGTTCTTTTTCGGGGCCGAATGGAGCAGAGATGACCAAGGACTTTCACATCTCCTTGCAGTTCCCAGTTTTAACATGCTCAAAAATTCAGCATGCACGCTTTTGAGTTTCTCTGGCGCCAAACGGTGCGCTCTGCAGGAGATAGGTGGTCCCGGTGTCATTCTAATGTGGTGGAGAGGAGAGTGCTCCGTTTTTCTGAGCAGTCCCTCTGATTTCGTTATTGCCGGGAATTCTTTCAGGATGGACGCGTACGGCGAATCCCCGTTGATCTCGAGGTGCTTAACAGGCAGTGCGCGGTAACGCGTAAACTGGCTATTCGATTTTAGGCCTGTTGAGCTGTCGATTAGGCACTCGTTCCTCAAATCCGGCAGCAGATTGAAGTGGTGCAGGAAATCAGCACCAACGATGGGTCTGCTGACGTCTGCCTCGACAAAACGCCACGTTAAGTCTCTGCGGAGACCGAGATCGGGCGAGATGGACGTGTAGCTGCACTTATCGATGATGGTACCGTTGGCTGCGAAAAGTTGATAGCCGCTGGTGTCCCTTTGGTTTGCTGGCCGCCTGCAAGGCGTGACAGAGATGTCTGAGCCTGTGTCCAGTAGGTATCGGGTCCCAGTCGTTCTGTCGGTGATGAATAGGCGGCGGGATTTCAAGTGAGAGACGACTTCCGTTACTATTGTCTCTCCCTGGAGTTTTCCTGAAACTTACAACCGGACGAACAATTACGCGCTCGATTACCAAATTTAAAATGGTACCAGCAGGTCTGCGTTTGTCCGAAGACCTTGGTGTTCGACCTGCTATGCGGGTGGTTGTTGTTGTCTTGCCCGCGGGATCGTGAGCGTGGATGTGAGCACAAGTTTTGTGCTTGCAGGGCTGCGACAGACGCGGTGAGTGCTGCGACCTGAGCGGCCAGCTGTGCGTTTTCCCTTGTACTCGACTTTGTTATCGCCGCAACAGTATCCGGATGATAGACCTCGTGGATCTTGTCTGCGAGCGTTGCTAGGTCATCGATGTTTGCCTGGGGCTGGATCACCAGACATGCTCGGGTGCTCTCCGGAAGATGAGTTAGCCAGCGTGCCCTCAAGACTTCATCATCGATATCTGGAACTAAACTTTTCAAATGCCTTAGATATTGAGAGGGTAATCGATTTCCAATCGACTCCCGATCAAGTAATTGGATAAGATTTGCTTCCTTTGACTTTGTAAATCGAGCAACCCCCATGGAAAAAAATATATGTGGAAAATATATTTGTCCTATATAATTTATATATGTCAAAATGTAGAACATATATGGAAAAATATAGGTAATATATTATGAGATATATTAAATATATTTAAAAATATAGAAAATTGGTCCATTTTTGTATATGGATTATATATAATAATCATATATGATCCATATATGATCCGTATATGGATTATATATAATAATCATATATGATCCATATATGAGATTTATACAGAGCCATACATAATCGTGTATATGATACATATACATTTTATATATGATTGTATATATATTTTATATATGATTATATAAGACATATATAAAATATATATACAATCATATATGCAGCCGGTAAATGCAAACCCCCGTGGAATTAAATATATATAGAATATATTCGTACTTTTTCTATATCGAGCGATATGCAGACAATAAATTATATATTCAACGGTACTTCTGATTAATGTGAAAAATATATTTTTGATTTCAGACACTATTATGCGGTGAAAGAATATATGTTTAATACATGAATACTTTTTTTTATTCTCTTAGTATATCGTGTGTATGAAAAATAATATGAAATGAAGACGGGTTCCAATTAAACCATATAATGATCATAAATCCTAATAATATCTGGTACAACTATTACCAACAGCATCACTTGTCTAAAGAATCACGCACTTAATGCTATTACCATAATAGACGATGCTTTTTTTAACAACAATATATGCGACAGAATCATTTTCTTATCGTCTCAACATATGATGAATTATTCAAATTAACTGACAAAACGATTTTAAGATCTCCTTATCAACATTTAGTAATTACGACTAGTAATAACAATGAGATGATGTCTGATGTGCATCAGAAACCCTGAAAAACATTCAATCTCCGTAATGATGCTTCATTTTTTCCGCAAGAACCATATAAAATTTCAATGTGTTTAAAATGAGGCGCAAAACCTTAATAACATTTGGTAAATATTGTCAGCACCAGTGATGACATAGAGTTAGGTATTATGGAATTTGATAGACTCTTTTGATGTCAATAATCTTAGGAATAATAAACGATTTTATCTTAAAGTAGGACCTAAAGTGATAACTTAAGTTGACCGCACGGCCAAGTCATTGTGGACCAGGGTCCCCAAAAGTCATAGCCAATAAACTTTAAATAATAAATTGAACGAAGTAATAAACTTGAAATATTCTGGATAATGACTACATCACATCACGTGTTATATCACGGTCGAAAAAACGCTAAAAACTACTTTTGATGATAACTCATTGGAATTAGTAGTAACAGCCATGAGATAGAGTTATGTATTATTCTATCGACTTCACAAACGTTGAAAATTGAGTAGTAATAATTTGTTGAACAAATCAAGTTGAACTGTATCGATTATCATGTATCGATTATTGTAGAACAAATAATTTGCGTAATTATTTTATTTTCAAGCATAAGTTCTTCTAGGAATTTATAAAGTTATCATCACGTCTTACTACTTCTTTGTCGGATTAGTGGGCGTGTGGTTCGTTGATACTTGACTTGTCCCTTCTATCAGTCGTTGCTCAAGGAGATCATTTTTTCTCTTTTGTGCTCGGAGATAATTTAAATGGTCATTACTAGCTTTACCGACGAGTGTTGAATTGAAGGTCTTTGTCTGATGTCTCTCAACGGTATCTAGACAGTACAAGTAGACCTTGAAAAATCTTAATTTTTATGCAATCGGAGAGATCAAGCACTAAAACGAATAATTAAAGTTACACAAAATCTCACCGAAAACCTCTTTAATAATCTTTTTGTCACGAGCTTCATGCCTTTCTGGTTGGGCAATCCCTGCCACTGGTTTCATTTTTCGAGCTCCACCACGTAAATTGCTTGTCAATAAAACTTCGTAGGGGAATAGTACATCATTCAAGGGAGTAGCCATACACGATGCTGTACTTTGGGCAATTGCGTAATCCCACTGGCCTTTATTAATAATAACGCCACTTCCTCTCTTTCCGATCTCAACGTCCTAAAAAACCAGCAATCAGAATACAAAAAAAAATTCATAATCATTAATTCAATTGAAGTAAAATTAATTAACCTTGTCTTTCTCATCTCGTTCTTCATCGTCTCTGTTTCTCGAAGGAGAGGATGACATATTTACATTCACTAGAACATTTTCTTTGTTTGTAAGCTTGTCGATCTGATTTTGCATAGATGTAACAACTGAAAAATAAATTTATTTGTGAACAATCTCACTAATCAGGACTTTCAAGATACGTAATTTCGCAAGTAAACTTTTACCATTTAGGATTGCATCGATCGATGATTGCTGATTTTCACCGTGGCCTTTGACTTTCTAGAATGAATAGAAATCAGACGCTTACATGCAGAATTAAATTGAAAAATCAACAAGATTTTATAAATCATAACATTGAACAAGTAATTTCATTTCTTAATTTAACACAATTATTGTAAAAAAAAATTGAGTGTAGAGTGAACATTGAGCATCTTGCCAATGTATTGTACTTTTTTTCCAGTTTACGACTAAGTTAGATTAAGATTTACACTGGGATATTTACTTTGTTGACGTGGGCGGAGAGATTAGGTTCTTCCCGGCTTCTTTTACTCTTGCTTCGGTCCAGAATTCTGCCATTCTGCGAGACAGTATCATCACTTTCTTGTAAATTCATATCTAGCTGTTTCTGGGTGACACTCTAAGAATAATATTTCCTTATTACTTGTCATATTTATAAGAACGAACCATCATTGTCATTGATGTTACGGAATTATTCTTTCTCATAGAGTGAACAATAGTTTTATCTTTGTTCTCTTGCCTTCATTATTGACAGATTAACGGATTGGAGTAAAGCTCTCATATAGACTCACCTCCTTAATCGCAGGCGTTTCGCCCATTTCTTTTTCAGTAGATAATACTTCAATGTGATCGATTTATTACCCATCACCACTTTCTTACTGAAATTAAAAAATAATAACAAGCCAAAATTGATTCATACCATTGGTAGAATACTATCGAGCTCTGTTGAAGGGGTGCTGTTGACATCTTCAGAGTCACTCGTAGATGATCGTTCTGAATCTTCATCATTCAATACTGGGTCATCATTCAATACTTGAAAGCTCGCGTTGTTAGTGTGTTTTTCATCATGGTTAATCTTCAAATTTGGAGACGCAACGCCTTTCAGTGTTTTGAAGAGTCTCTCACACACTGTTTTTCGATCTGGAATGAATAACAAAATAATGAATATTTTTTTAACCAAAAACGTTGAACTGTCAGTTCATGAATAGAGATATACAGAGTTCAACGATCAATCCAAAAATTTCCTTGTTTTTGAAACAGAATAATAATAATTTTAAATAATTATTTAAGCAAGTTAATACAATAGCAATATCTTGTGACTGGAAGTTTCGTTCTCGCCATTTTTTGATATCATTTATTCAACAAAACTAAAAATATCATCCAACTCATCCATAATTAATGCCCCAGCCTCACCAGCACCTGATATTGTGCTGATAAACTTGAATTAGGTGAATCGACTTTTGCTGATTATGCTGAAGATAATGATGATTATGATCAACAATTGTTGAATTGACTCGTCTCCCTGGGCTTTTTTGACATCGAGGGCACGGGTGACGGGTCCGAGGGCTCTGAAGTATGCGAGGAGCGTGATGAATTTGATGAGGGCTCACAGAGGGACTTGGGAAGAGGTTTAGAGAGTCGAATTGGGAGGATCTGAGGAGATCCATCAAATCTAGAATTCATGCTTAGATTTTCTTGGCTGATGTTTCAGTTTGACAGCTCTGAGCTGATGGGACTGATTTTTAGGTGTCTCAGGATTAGAAAGTGAATTTTAAAAAAAGTTAAATTCAATCCTATTTTAGCATCTGGTACCGCTAAAATGACGTTTACTCGCGCTTCTTTCGATTGATTCAATTTTCTCCATTGTAATTTGGCATTAACTGTCACTTTCGAACGATATTTTTTCGGGGTTATGAATCCTTGTTTCAGTGGAATTGGAGAAGTTTTTTTTTTTTTAATAGGATTAATTAATCTCTTTCATTGGAGAAAGAGTGATGTTTCTGGGTGGAGCAGTGTTTGAAAGAGATGATGAAGGTATAGCAGCAGAGGTTGATGATGCTGATGATGCTGCAGTCACCCGTGCCCATTCTCATCAGCTCCTGAGCGAAATCCATGACTCTTCGCACCGCTCTAAAGGCGTCGTCTTCGTTTGCAGCGAGAGACGGGTTTTGTGGGCATTGGAATGTGATTTATACTTGGATTTAAACTACTGGCCAAATTAGGTGGAGGCACTATCGGTGATGGATAATCCAATCTAGAAATCACTGGTGGATAACTCATTGGGATAATGGAGGAGTGAATGGCGTCTCTGGTGGATTATTGATGTTTACTGCGATTTTTGACGAGCAATTCAAATTTGTGGGGCTCTTCTGAAGGTTCGTGGACTCTCTAGAGTCTATTGGAGAGTTGGAGGCACTGATGGAGTCTCGAGTGAGCTCCACAGGCGATCCTCGAAGGTTCTTCTTTTACTTTTCTCGTTTTGAACAGATCCACAAAGATTATTGTACTTAAGTTGACTTTACTATTTGATTATGAAATGATAACTAACCAAATTCCAGAGAAAATCCTTGAAAATATTCACCTAAATTTTACACATTCTTATCAAATAATTGAATTCAATGAATTAGGACTGGATAAATTACCTGATAATTGAATAATTTCACCATCGTAGCAGGGCCAGCCTCCCAATGGTTCACTCCCTTCATGCCACTTGACAATGTATGACTCTTGATCATCAGGGTCAGTGGCTAAATACGCACCATAATTAAAGTCCTTGATCCACTCTGTGGGTATATCGGGTGTGTACTTTCCTTTATCTGTACCACCAAGCCACTTGATAAGAGCATACTTAGGTGGGGCGTCCATCATTCTGTGGCATAGAATATCGTCGATTGTATTGGTTATGAACATTTTTTTTTTCTTATTTTTCTATTTTCAATATCATTTTCATTACAAATTTTTGGTTTCAAGACATTTTTTTAACCCATTAGTTGTGCTCTCGGTATCAACATTTGAATTGACAACAATGGGAAAATAATTGCAAATATACCTTCGCTCGTAGGTACTGACCAATGCGATTGTCATGGGACCACTATTCATATTATTGTAACACTTGAAAGGGGCAATGAGAGAGTAACTAATAAAGAATTTTGAGGTTATTTTATCCAAATAATAATAATTTTAAAAAATGTATCCAAATAATATGAATAATACTAAGCGAAACACTTACTTGACTGATAGTTATTTTATTTTGTCGAATTCTTACTTTTTAATACACAACAAACAATGTAAAGAAATAGCAATTATCTCACGGCGATCCAGTACGTGAAGCCTGAATAATCGGCACTCAAACACTTCTGCAAGTTTCACCGGACGGCAAGCCCATGGATGCCGGTGTAAACGTGTCGAATACCACGCTGGTCAATTGACTAGTGGGAACCGTTGATAATTTCCCAAATTTCAATAGCAAGGTCATATACCGCAAGGCGTTATGAACATTAAAAAGGAAATGTTTTTAAAAACCACAGTTTCAACAAAACCAATTATTTATAGGTAAATTTTTTGATTATTCAGTGACAGAGTCACTTGCTTGAGCTATGAATTGAGTTTGAGTTAGTATGCGTCAATTTGTGTGTCAACAGTGTGTCAATGTGTGTTGAGTGTCATGTTTTCACATTGTCGCAATAAATAATTATTTTCGTTTTGACCATCATTGAACGAAATTTTTTTCATCATATTTGACGTGTTTCTAACCTGTAAGACGTTAACTTTCATTTACTTCACTTCTACTACTAGACTGTGACTGTTATTCACAAATGGCTTCAAATGGAGACAAGCGCGGGCGTTATAAAAAATATGTGAGTGATCCAACTGGAGAGAGTGTTCCAAGGAGGACTAAATACCGTAGACTTGGCAATTCGATGAAGGGAAACAGGTAAGGCTGATTCAAAATTCCTTTCTTCCAAGAAAATTAATGTCTGCCTTCAAGTAATCGATAACTAATTTCTATTTTTATAGGGTGAAAAGGCCAGGAGCGTTACTTCGGCAATTTTATCGAGAATTGGAAATGCAAATTCAGGTAAATGACGCAATATCAGTAGTGAATAATTCAAATTATTGGTAGACATTACTCAGACATTCCTCAGCGACTGGGACACGGTCAAGTGCCGGCACCTTCCCCTTACTTTAGACGGAAATGTCAGAGGGTAGGGGAGCCCCGGGCAAAATGGGTCGACCGGGCACAACGGGACGCGAGGGCAAAATGGGACGCAGGGCAAAATGGGACACTAGCGGAGATGCATTTTCCGCTAGTGTCGCAAATCGGATTGATTCAAGACGACAGATATAAACTCACTGCCAGAGTAAAAAAAAAACAAAAATCGAATACAATCCTAAAAATTAAAAAGAAAAAAATGAAAAGAAAATATTTTTGAACTATTTTTGTAGGGGGAAAAAAGTGACTCCAATTGAGCTGAAAATTCGTTTCCGCTAGTGTCCCATTTTGACCTGCGTCCCATTTTGCCCTCGCGTTCCGTTGTGCCCAGATGTCCCATTTTGCCCGGGTCTCCCCTAGGTTTTGTCGCAAATCTATCTAGCTATGAGCAGCCCCCTGGCACTCGCTTCAACAGCCGCCCTGTTAATGTGCCGCCACTACGCGGCGCTCATGGCTACCTGCTCTCTTCCCCTACTCGCCCCGCTACCCCCGCTCTTCATTCGACCGCGCATTTTAAAAGGAAGGAAAATAAAACTTATTTACGAATTGCGAATCTATCTCATAAACGACTGGTCTTACGGAAAAATGCCAAAAGACCTTTTTTCTAGCTGATGAAATTTCCTACAAAAAATATTTTTTAACATTTCCTCGTAGAACAATCCGTTCTTCAAACGGAGAATGGTTAAAAGAATTAAAGATGAAAAATTAAGAGTTGAATGTCAATGGTCACATGGGTAATGATCAATCAAATCAGAATCAAAAGTCAAAAATTAAACGGGGAATAGTCAAGCGGATAAGAGTAAACTGTAAAAACTATTTTGACACTTATTAAATTCATTTGACCATTTCTGATTTTTGACAGTGAATATTTGACTTTTATTTGTTTAACCATTCCCTGTTTGACCCTTGACATTTGACTCTTGATTTTTTATTTTTCTTTCTTTGACCATTGTCGAATTGACTCTTGACGTTTGATTCTTGGGCAGTTTCGCACTCTAATCTCGGAGTGGTGGGGACAGGGAGGTGAGTGGGGAAAATAGAGCAGGTAGCCATCAGCGCCGTCTAGTGACGACACGTTAACGGGCCGCGGACGCTATAGGGTTATTTGGTGGAGTAGCAGGGGGCTGGCTATGAGCAACGCTTTTGACATTATCTTCATAAATTTTACATTTCTGAAGCATGTGTACAATTTAAAAAATATCACAAACGTCAATCTTTAATAAGAAATAAATTTCCCGAAAGTTGACATCTGAAAATTCTCAACTTTTGGCTCTGAAATAAAGTTACAAGTGATGGAAAATTAGTAAAATGGTCAAATAATCATTACATCTCCCATTTTGATGTTCTAGGAGCAGCAAAATGGATCAGGTAATCAAGAAATAGATGTGGATCCCCAGTTGACTCAACATCATCTAGAACTAATCATGAATAAAAATTCGAGTCCCGTCGAAATCCGACAAGTACAATTTGATGAAGGCCGAAGCGTAAGTATAATTTATAATTGCAGGACTGAAATATATCAAGTCAAATTTGCACATGCGATTAATTAAAAATGATCTGGACAATGAGTAATTTTGAATCGTATTTCCTGTTGTCAGGAGCAGATAATTGAAATCAGCAATGAGATTAGAGAAAGTTCATGTTCGTCCAGTTCATCCAGAGCAATTTTAGATGTTTCAAATGAGGAGACATCCTGTGATTCGAACGCCATGAATGGAAATGGTGAGGTGGACCATAATTCGTCTGAAATGAGCCGTCCTGAGCAGCCTGAGATGGACAACTTCTAGCCCACAAACGCTGATGATGTTCTTGTGCAATTTGTATTGTGGCACTGGCCATGTCCCTGATGTCAATGGATACCTGGCACCTTTGGTTGCAGAATGCAATGAACTGAGAGAGACTGGATTTTGCTATACTCATGAAGGAAAATTGTATCGACAAAAATGCCAACTACTCCTAGGCATTTGTGACTCCATTGCCAGACCAGAGGTACAAAATAGTACTCAGTTCAATGGCAAGTTTGGTTGGAGTCTCTGCAAACATCCGGGCGAACGAGTTCCAAAGGGCAAAGGGGCAGTTAATGTGTACCCAATTGATGATAATAGTAATGCTTTCGGAGAAGGCCTTCGGACACACAACGAGACGCTTATCCATGCACAAACATTAGAGAAAGGATTGCAAGGGCGCTCAGTTTTATGCGATGCTGTCAGCTTTGACATCATCAAAAATTTACCAGCAGAATGGATGCATAATACTGGATTAGGAGTAGTTAAATAATTCGCTAATCTTTGGTTTAAGTCAAGCAATCATGACGAGCCCTTTTACTGTGGTCGCTCATTACCTCTCGTAGACGAGTTGTTACTGTCATTCAAACCCTCTTTAGACGTATCCAGAACGCCTCGAAAAATGTCTGATCATTCGTACTGGAAAGCACATGAATGGATGATTTTTTTACTATTTTATAGTATTCCAGTCATGAAACGCGTATTATCAAGCAAATATATTAACCATTGGGCACTCTTGGTAGATGCAATATCGATTTTAACGAGCTCCTCGATAATGCTCGCAGATATTTTCTATGCAAAGCAATGCCTCTTCGAGTTCCTCAAAGGTGTAGAGAAGCTGTATGGAAAAGTACATCTTTCCTTCAATGTACATTTACTTACCCATCTAGCGCAGAGTGTGCTAGATTGGAGTCCTCTGTGGACTCATAGTGCATTTGGATATGAGAATTACTATCAAAAGTTGCTTCAATTCGTCCATCGTTCCAATAAGCCATCACTGCAAGTATTCACATCATTCCGACTGCAAATGGTTGTTCATAACCTATATGATATTTGTGCAGATTCCCTCACACGACACCAACGAATCTATATTGATAAATTACTGCTCAGAAAGACATACCCTAAAGTTGCATGTGTTTTCAATCAAATTTCTCTACTAGGAAAGGGACAAATCGCTACGCTCAAGAGGAGAGACTACTTGGCTCTGAGGCGTATCAATGTTCGATTGGATTCTCAAAGAATTGTCAGCTATTTCAATAGAATGATTCTAAATCGCGAAATTTTTCACAGTATTGAACATAGTCGACCTTGGAAACGCCAAAGTTATTATGTCCTCCTACAGAATTCAGAGATTTTTTAGATAAACAGGTTTGTACTCTTCAAGGAGGAAGATCAATTTCGATGCTACGCGATTGGTTATTATTTTGAGAAGCATCATCGTTCATTGATTCACGGAAGAAGTTTAACGCACATAACAGTACTGAAGAATAAAATCGATCATTTAGCAGCGGTCGGCGTTGATGTAATTAAAGAGAAAGTCGTATTCATCCAAATGGCGCAATGTCAGTTGATAATCGCTTGTAAACATCCCAATCACTGTGAACTCATGACGTAAATTGATGATTGTATCCTTAATATATATTTTAACTATTGAATTAGTGACTACATCGCGAGAAAATGTGTCTGGATTTCAAGGAAATTTCCTCATTTTCAGGAACTGTTGATCATGGCAGTTGACAGGCAGGAAATCCTGCATACACAGGCCTTTTTCACTTATTCTAAGAGTATTTTTGTCTAATTTTCAGGAAAATACGCTTGGGGCATGTCAAAAAGTCACTCATTTCATGAATTTCCTCCATCTTAATTTATGGAAAAAATAAATGCCCTGGGGCTAAGAGTTCCTGGAAACAAGTGAATTTCTCTGGAAGTCAGATACGTTTTCTTCTATGTAGGACACCTGTTACATAAATTTGATCATATGTATAAGAAAGATGAAATCTAGGAAAAGATGTAAAAACCCTTTTTTTTCAATTTTTGGGAGCTACAAAAAAGAGTTGACGACATTTTTCTCCGAGAACTCTCATTTCTGCGATAAACTCATGTTTGAAGAGATAGAGAATGTTAACTGAAAGTTGTCCTCACCATTTAACCAATGACTCGATTATAATTATGCATAATTACTTGAGATTGTAAAATATGAATAATTGACGAGATCTAAAAATTGATAATGTAATACAAAGTGTCTGTAAACCTCTGACTTTAACAAGCTTCTAATACTTTAGTTTGTGTTGAGTATACTAAAAAATCTAATAATTATACATGGTGGATTATGATTATCT